TGGGATTGTCATTACATCCACTATCATTAAAATCCCATTAAATCCCAATTAAATCCACTAAATCCCAATTTAGCTTGGTGATATCGAGATTAAGTATATTATAGTATATTAATTACTGATGAATCACCATCAAAGCCCCCTTAAATCCCTGTTAAATCACTAATTTTCTTTGGTAAACTCCTGAGATTACGGACCCAAAGATCCGCTTTCGGAGGCCTTGGAAGACCTGCAGGATGAGATGAAGAAGTGGCTTGATGACCGGGAAAAGGATCAGCCAACAGCCAGGATGTAACCCTCAAAACCACTTGAGATTTTATCTAGGGAACAACTTTAGACTATTGGAATATCATTGGAACATCATCATATGTATTAAAGTTTCGGATTTATACGGATTAATCCAAATACATCCAAATACATGATTATATCCAATGACATGTTTCAGTATTTTCCTATATATATATTTATTTATTTATTATTTTTATTTTATGGGATTTAGCCATCAACAATCAACAAGAGGGCTTATGAGAGCGATTTCATGGGGACTAATCATCTATTAATTAATTAATGGAATTTTAGTGGATATGAGTGGGATATTAGCTGATACACATAAAGAAACACGTGTTTCTTTGTGCTAACCAAACATGGCTGGAAAAACCCCGAACTAAATCTGGTTGGTGGTTTGGAACATTTTTTATTTTCCCATATTGGAAATAATTAATAAGCCCAACTGACGAACTCCATCATTTTTCAGAGGGGGCGGGCTCAACCACCAACCAGAGATGGAATTTTATAGCTGAGAAAATGATCCAAATCAATTGCCATGTTTGATGGAGGGTAGGCATCCAGCAAGCACTTGGGATTTAGCCTCTGGCTATGACATTCACAGTTCGCCATGGGATAGATGACCCTAATCGAGTCATAGAGGTTTACCTATTACCCTCTGGTAAATTAACATAGACCCTGGAAATCACCTATTTTTAATGGAAACTAGTCTTCCAACCCCTATCTGTCAGGGTCTATGTTAATTTACCAGAGGGTAATAATAATGGGGTGATTTTAACCATGGCGAGCTGTGACTGTCATAACCAGATGGTAGGGAAAAAATGGTTTCAATTGGATATCACCATCGAGATTTTTTGATGGAAGAATACTAGAATTGGTCAACAACCATGTTACTACCCTCTGGTAAACGTTTACAAAAAACTATGGAAAATCATCATGCTATTAATGGGAAAACTCACTATTTCTATGGCCTTTTGCAAACTGCAAACTGTTAGTCATTACCAGAGGGTAACTTCAAATATGGTGATTAATTTCGGACAAATTGGGATTGAATGGGATGAAATAAGGGAGTTGCTAATGGGGTTGTCATAGAAGAAACAATGCTTGGATCCCATGAAAGCAACTCCCGGAGTGATTATCCCATTAACAACAGTTAAATCTGATTATCCAATGTTTCAATTGGCTTTATTTTTATTTGGATCATCAGATTCTCGTCGTCAGCCAGCCGGGATTTCACATGAAGCATCAAGCCATTGGGGGGCAAAATTGAACTCAATTGCTGGATCGGATAGGAGCTAAATAATCTGGTTGGTGGTTTCAAACATGAATTTTATTTTCCATAATATATGGGATAATCCTTCCCATTGACGAACTCATATTTTTCAAGATGAAACCACCAACCAGTAATGGGATGTCATATGGGATATACCACCAACAGTATTTGGTTGGTGGTTTGGAACATTTGGATTATTTTTCCATTCAGTTGGGGATTTCATAACCCCAACTGACTAACTCCATCATTTTTGAGAGGGGTAGGTATACCACCAACCAGATATGATTAGGATTCCGGATTTGAGAAATGGTGGGAGCCATCAAAGCCATGGGGAAACAACCAGCAAAGATGGGGGCAGTCAAAAGTGCTCATCCCAGGAGTCGTAGGTCCGTTCTTGGGCACGAAAATTTCATAAAAATTTCAATGTAGCATCCATAAATCCAGCTATTTCGATGTGAACTAGCTTCTGGTAGACACGGCAATGGACAATCCATCATTTATACTTGATTTTCCCATTAGAACCTCCATTTCTAGGAGATTTCCCCACTGCAAAAATCCTCCATGTTTTCTATTAGAACCACGATTTTTCCTGGTTTTCCCCATCGTTTTCCATATGTGTTTTCCTATGATTCCTTCGGAACCTCATGGAACCTCCTGGAATTTCGGGTGATTTTGCAGCCAAGGCACAGCTCGAACATCGCCCACAAGGAGTTGGAGGCGGCTTGGAGAAGGGCGTGGCCGACCCGAGGACATATCCTTGAGATCGGCCTACCCATAGGATCCATGGTGCTGGTATATATGCTAACATTGGGGGTATATTGATGGTAAATGTTACCATATATAGCATACGTGGATCCTATGGGCTATTGAATACTTCACAATGTCAATTGGAATACAACAGGATCCTAAATTGCAGGTACGTTAGTACCATATGTTTGGCCATATGAATTGTGGGGATATTCCCTGAAATTTAGGCCTAACAAATAGGCCTTATATATGGTAGGTACCTCCAATTTAGGATCCTGGAATGGCCATTGACAATGAGGGCTTGAGTAAAACCATAGGAAAACCATAGGAAAATGGTAGCAACAATATGGAGATTTTTATAGGTTTTTTTGATGTGGGTAAAACAATGTCATAAACCACCCATGACTTGGAATGGTAAACATACCACCTATAAGAATGGGGAAATTATTTAAATTGGGGATATTGGGGATGGTCTATGGCATTGTTTTACCAACATTATATAGACAACTGCTTGGTGGAGTTTGGAACATTTGGATGATTTTTCCATTCAGTTGGGAATTTCATCATCCCAACTGACTAACTCCATCATTTTTCAGAGGGGTTGAAACCATTATAATCCCAACTGACTAGCTCATATTTTTCAGAGGGGTAGGTATACCATTATATAAACAATAGTAGAACCATCAAATCACACATCATGACTTTCGGGATGAACCCAGCGGCCCCAGCGCGCTTTTTTTGTTTTCGGCTCATAATTCCTGTTGGGATGGGTGTCGTCTTTTTCGTGGGTCAAATTTCCCTCTGGATGTTGCCGCTAAAGTCACTTTACCCGGCCTGGTAAACGTTTACAGTTTGCGAACTGGAAAATCACCATCTTTAAGTTCGGTAAATCAACTAATGTGGGATACAGATTAGTGTGGGGATACAGAATTGTGTCCACAGACTCCAAAATTATTTTGTATCTTTGGAAATGATCGAGGGGTACAGTTTTGTGTCCACAGGATTTTGGTGTAAGTTTTTTCATTTTTTGTTTTTTAGTTTTTAATTGTTTTTATTTTTATTTTTAATTATAATATTTTTTTTAATTTAATTATTTTTTATTTGATTTTAAATATTTTTTTATTTTTATTTTTAATTATAATAATTTTTAATTTAATTATTTTTTATTTGATTTTAAATATTTTTATTTTTATTTTTAATTATAATAAGTTTTATCGTATTTCTTTATTTTATTATTTTAATATAACAATTTTTTAAATTGTGTCAGGATACACAATTGTGTTATTGTGTCAGGATACACAATTGTGTCTTGGTCTTGTTTCTGTTTGTTCAGTCATTTTTCATTTTTTTCATTTTTTAAAGCCTTTTTCTTTTACTTTTTATTTTCAATCATTGAAATTTTCCAGATGCCTTCCACAGAAAATTACATCCAGGTACACAATAGTGTGGTTTGTTTGGAGGGTACACTATTGTGTCCTGCTGCTTCCTGAGGTCATGATTTTTTGATGTTTTCCAATAATTTCCTTTACCTTTTCCTTTGCTAAAGTTTTTTTTCTTTTAATTACTTAGTTACTTTCTTAGTTTCTTTCATTTGAAATTCTCAGAAATGCCCAATTTCCCAAAATATATGATGCCTTACTAAAATCCAATTAAGAATCATCACCCAAACAATTTTTCAAGGGGGTAGTCCATGAGCAACCCTGATACATAATAGTGTGGTTTGTTTGGAGGGTACACTATTGTGTCCAGCTGCTTTCCTGAGATCATGATTTTTTGATGTTTTTCAATAATTTCCTTTACCTTTTCCTTTGCTAAAGTTTTTTCTTTTAATTACTTAGTTGCTTTCTTAGTTTCTTTCATTTGAAATTCCCAGAAATGCTCAATTTCCCAAAATATATGATGCCTTATTAAAACCCAATTAAAAAACATCACTCAAACAATTTTTCAAGGGGGTAGTCCATGAGCAACCCTGATACATAATAGTGTGGTTTGTTTGGAGGGTACACTATTGTGTCCAGCTGCTTTCCTGAGGTCATGATTTTTGATTTTTTCAATCATTTCCTTTACCTTTTCCCTTGCTAAAGTTTCTTTCTTTTAAGTACTTAATTACTTTCTTAGTTTCTTTCATTTGAAATTCTCAGAAATGCCCAGTTTCCCAAAATATATGATGCCTTACTAAAATCCAATTAAAAATCATCACTCAAACAATTTTTCAAGGGGGTAGTCCATGAGCAACCCTGATACACAATAGTGTGGTTTGTTTGGAGGGTACACTATTGTGTCCTGCTGCTTCCTGATGTTATTTTGTTTTTATTTTGCAGTCATTTCCTTTACCTTTCCCTTTGCTAAAGTTTTTTCCTTTTAATTAATTAATTACTTTCTTAGTTTCTTTCATTTGATATTCTCAGAAATGCCCAGTTTCCCAAAATATATGATGCCTTCTTAGAACCCAATGAAAAAACATCACTCAAACAATTTTTCAAGGGGGTAGTCCATGAGCAACCCTGATACACAATAGTGTGGTTTGTTTGGAGGGTACACTATTGTGTCCTGCTGCTTCCTGAGGTCATGATTTTTTGATGTTTTCCAATAATTTCCTTTACCTTTTCCTTTGCTAAAGTTTTTTTTCTTTTAATTACTTAGTTACTTTCTTAGTTTCTTTCATTTGATATTCTCAGAAATGCCCAATTTCCCAAAATATATGATGCCTTCTTAGAACCCAATGAAAAAACATCACTCAAACAATTTTTCAAGGGGGTAGTCCATGAGCAACCCTGATACACAATAGTGTGGTTTGTTTGGAGGGTACACTATTGTGTCCAGATGCTTCCTGGTGTGTTTTTTTTTTTCAAGCATTCCCTTTACCTTTTCCTTTGCTAAAGCTTTTTTCTCTTATGGTATTTCTATGGTATTACTATTGGGTTTCTATGGAATTCCTATGAGGTTTCCATGCTGTTTCTATGATATTTCTGGAAGATTTCTATGGGATTTCTGAAGGGGTGCTATGGGAGTTCTATGGTATCCTTATGGGATTTCCATTGGATTCCTATGGGATTTCTATGGTATTTCTATTGGACCCCTATGGAATTTCTATTGGAGCCCTGTGGGATTTCCAAGGTATTTCCATGATGTTTCTATGATATTTCTATGGGATTATTATTGGAATTCTCATGGGATTTCTTTTGTGGTTCCTATGCTATTCCATGTTATTTCTATGATCTTTCTGTGGAATTTCTGTGAGATTCCTATGGGATTTCCATGGTATTTCTATGATATTTCTTTGGGACTACTATTGGATTTCTATGGGATGTCGATTGAAAGTAAATTGGCAGTAAACTGAAATCAATTGGCAGTAAATTCAAAGTACATTGAAATCAATTGAAAGTAAATTGGAATCAATTCAAAGTAAATTGAAATCATTTCAAAATAAATTGAAATCAATTCAAAGTAACTTCAAATCAATTGAAAGTCAATTGAAATCAATTGAAAGTAAATTGAAATCAAATGAAAATAAATTGAAATCAATTGAATGTAACTTCAAATCAATTGAAAGTAAATTGAAATCAATTGAATGTAACTTCAAATCAGTTGAAAGTAAATTGAAATCAATTGAAAGTAGATTGAAATCAATTGAAAGTAAATCGAAATCAATTGAAAGTAAATTGAAATCAATTGAAAGTAAATTGAAATCAATTCAAAGTAAATTGAATTCATTTCAAAATAAATTGAAATCAATTGAAAGTAAATTGAAATCAATTGAAAGTAAATTGAAATCAATTCAAAGTAAATTGAAATCAATTCAAAGCAAATTGAAATGAATTGAAAGTAAATTGAAATCAATTTAAATCTATCATTTTTTTTCACCGTATTGCGTGCCCGGTACCTTGTTTTTTCCACACTATTCTGTATCCAAAATTTGTTTAGGGGGGGGCCTCCCCACACTAATCTGTATCCTACATTATTTCTAAATGGGCCATGGATTCAATAGCTATTTTGACATAACCAGAGGGTATGTTGCGGGTCAAATCCATGAGTTCAATCCACCATTTTTCATGGAAAAAATCTCAAAATGTTTTCCCGGTGAAATCATCATTTTTGCTGGTCAACTTGACCATTATGGCCCATAAATAGTTCGTTGGTGGTTTGGAACATTTCGATGATTTTTCCATTCAGTTGGGAATTTCATAGCCCCAACTGACTAACTCCATCATTTTTCAGAGGGGTAGGTATACCACCAGACTAACTCCATCATTTTTCAGAGGGGTACGGCTCAACCACCAACCAGTATTTTGTTCCGCTCAAATCCATAGGTTTCGCCGGCGTCAGTGGAGTTTTCAGCGCCCAGGCTGAGAACGAGAAGAACCGCGCCGACTTGGCCGAGTCCATCGCTGCTTCACGTGACTTGGGCAATTTTTCTTTGGCCTGATACCCCTTTGGTAAATAGCAAAGATAATTAATGGTTATTTAATAGGGATATTAATGGTGACTTAATGGTGATTAACCCTCTGGTAATGGAATATTAGTGACTGGTTGTTGGTTTGGAACATTTGGATGATGTTTCCATATATATATATATATTGGAAATAATAAGCCCATTTGACTTTCATATTTTTCAGAGGGTTGAAACCACCAACCAGACAATAAATAGCAAGGATACTCTCTGGTAAACACAAAAAACTATGGAAAATCACAATTTTCTAGCTGGGTAAATCCACTATTTCTATGGCCATGTTCAATAGCGAACTGTTAGTTTAGCAGAGGGTAATAGTGAGGAAATGTAGCAAGGATAGTGCAACCCAAGAATAATAGAAAGGATAGAATGGTACAATGTGGGGCCCCCAAATGATAGCTAAGTTGGTGCACATAACCTCAATAACTATGGTTTTGATACGTATAACTACAGTATCCATGGGGTTTGTAAACCAATTTATAACTGGGGGAGCCCACATTGTACCCAGATGCTCCATGTGGGTCTGTCCATGGGATTGCCATCATTTTCCCTGTTCAAATTGCTGTTTGGGAGTATACCCTTTTTTCAGACAAACTCATGTATGGAAGATTTATCTACATTCCCGAAAACATGTTGCCACATGTAAGTAGTTGTTTTTTTTCCAAATATCATGGCATCATGTATTTTTTGTGGCACTTTGATATTGGTTTCAACCATCAACAATAGGGATTATGACAGACTAATCCTCATTTTTGAACAATAGGGATTTGCAATCATCAATATTGATGAATGGGATTAGCCTTAGCTTTTGCTAATATATTAATGAATGGTATAATTATGAACCATATTGGTGCCTTTGGTGGGACTTTAATTGGATTCAACATGATTCAAGCATCAACTCTATCGGCTTGCAATGCAAATACAATGGGATATAGTTTAATGGACTTAATAAATGATAAATGATGATAAATGAATAAACCACTGTATGAATAATCCATCAGACCTGGATAAAATTTTGAATTAAGCATCCTGAATTGGGATTTTGAATGGGATATAGTATCATGGTTGTTCCCATTTACACGGGATTTACACTGGGGATATCATGGTTGATACCATGGATTGCAATTGGTTGGTAAATGGATTGTTCGGGAGATAGTTGGCCTCCGAGCAAATGTGGCAATGTCAATGGGAATACAACAGGATCCGATAAAAAATGGAGGTACGTTAGATTAGTACCATATTTTTAAGGCCATATGAATTGTGGGGGTATTCCCTGAAATTTAGGCCTTATACATGGAATCGGTACCTCGAATTTAGGTTCCTGGAATGGCCATTGATCCATTGGGGATTTGCAATTGCCATGTTGGATCACCGGAGGGTATTCTCCCATGATGATTTGATGCAGGAGATTCCCATTCTTATTCTTGGTGATTTAAGGGTGATTTAATGGTGATTTAATGGTGGTTTAATGGTGATTTAATGGTGATTATGGAGGACATATCTATCGTTGGATGAATTGAAGATCTACCAGCAAATATGACCATGGATGCCCCACTCCCGTTGTTGGCGTGTACCCCCATGGCGGTTGATTCAGAGCCTCAGCATTGTTGGTTGGATCCTAATTTGCGTGCTGAATTCCCCAATCCTTCATGGTCAAAATGCCATTATAGTATAATGAAACCTTCTAGTCTGATTGGTTTATTCATCCCAGGGTCTTTTTTCCCATTCTAACTCCATGACATCTTAATTGTTCATGGTAAAATCATGTAAACTCCCATTTTTCAGCACCTTCAAAATTCCTTCAATTCAACATCATATTTTTTCCCAGGAGAATCGCATTAAACCTACATGAACTCACCTTTTTACGGGGGGGGCTTTGGTGGCGCCTTCGTTTCGCCACCATGGCTTTCCCAGGTCAGGAAGAACTGGAAACAGCCCAGAAGTTGGCCGAGAAAGCAAAGGCCTGGCTACGAAAGGACTCACCAGAAATTTGGGACATGGGGCTCCGACAACTATGGTGAAGTAATAATATACATTATAATATATATAATATACATATACATTATAATATATATATATATAATATGTATGTATGTCTAACTGGGCTGTACAATATAACTGGGCTATAGAAGTCAATAATACATATATATATATATACACCCTCTGGTTATGACTAACATAGCCAGGGAAATGGCCCATAGAAATAGATGGCTTACCTATTAAAAAATGTGATTTTCCATGACTATGTTGAATAACCAGATGGTATATATATATATGTATCATTGTATATCTAACTCAGCTATACAAGATAACTTATCCTGCATCCTCATCAAATATCATATCCTCATTATAAATATATACTAATTTTATTGGTTGGCTATATATGGGTGGTCTACAAAATGGGGCTCTCTCCGTTAAAAGGTCGTTTATGTTTACCATAGATCTACTGTAGATTCATCTACCATAGATCCAACACTGAACAGAAAACTATCCATTGGGGTTCCCACTTGGTACGGGGGTGATCAATTTGTAATTTATACTGTATAGTGAATGTGTCATGTATGTACATATGGAGGCTTTTTCAAATGGGGGATCCCCAAAACAGGACTCAATACTAAAAGATAAAAGGGACTATTTTTGGATGATTTGGGGGTGCCCGCGTTAGGAAACCTCCACATCTATATATATATATATATACACACAGTACATTGGGTAGTAAAATCCTTTGCGATGTCTACAATCATCAACCAACTGTTCAATGCATTATGATGATCCGCAATATATTGGATATCATAACCCCTGAACTATGCCTCAATCAATGCCAGGGTTTCTGACACCGCGTACTATATATACATATATATATATATATATACGTGTATATATATATTTATTTAAATATGTATATATGAATATATATATATATATATATATGTGTATATGTATATATATATATATAGAGTGAAGGGGAATCACCAACCAGCCAAAAATTCCAAGTGTACCCATTGTCTATGTTTGATGGCTAAAGCCAGCAAAAAGGCAATGGATGGTAAAGGTTCAATCCCGGTAAACCAGTCTATGAAATCCCCATGAGGCTCTGGCTAAAACATACAGCAGCGCATCCAATAGGTTCTCAACCCCATCATGTTGGCTGGTTTATTGTAAATTGAAATTGTATTTGTCTGCCAAAATTTGGGTAAATCCTCATATTTTTTGTTTTTGGTAATTCCCTTTTTGTGCAAAACAAGTTCGTTCGTTTTGGTGGTTTGATAACCAGAATACTGTGTTTGATGGTTAAACCAACATGAAATCACCAGTTTTGATGCTTAAATTTCCATGTTCCATTGATGGTCCCATTTAAAAACAAACACCACCACTCTAATGGTTGCGAAATCCTGCAGCAGTTGGTAGACGCAGGTGGTTTATCCCCAAAAATCCCATCGTAGGTGGTTTACCCCCCACAGATGGGAATCATAACATCATTTTTTATCCATCATTTTTTATCATATCACAAACAAATCCCATCACATGGGAATCATACAATCATTAATAAAATCATGTTTTATCATATCAATTCATAAACCATATCACAAAAACATATAGGAATCCCATGATTTTTCTTATCCCTTCATCCCCCCCGCACGCCTTGGCGTCGCCGCACGAAGGCCACTCTGCAATCCGTCCGTTCCGAGCTCACCGCAGAATGCTCCGCCGCCAAGGTGGGATCCAGTGAACATTCGGACGTTTGAAGCCATACCCTCTGGTAATGACTAACATAGCTATTGAAAATGGCATTTATAGTGAGTTTTCCCATTGAAAATGGTGATTTTCCATAGTTTATGTTAGTTTACCAAAGGGTAAACCATAGGTTTAACCGTGAAAGAACCATTCAAAATGAGAACTGAGATGAGTTGAGCCAGTCAAAAGTGGGATTGAGCAGCTAAGAATGATAATTTGGACCATATTTCACCATTAAACATGATAAGTTCACCGCTTAAAATGATAAATTAACCCCAAAAAGATGGTCACTTAAGCAGAAAAAAAGAGGATTGAACCTCCAGAAGGATGCAGAAACCAACCGGATGGAACATTCTGGCCTGAAACACAGCACGATTTAGTCACTAGACTACATAGATGGGCCATGGGATTAGCTCACTGATTGGTAAGTGGTTATACACTCCACGAAGTATCCACATGTCATGTGGAATGGAAAAACATGGAAATAGACCTTGAAAAAGGCTCAGGAATTGAGAAGAACTTTAAGCCACTGTAAGCCCCCTATCATCTGAGAAAACTGCGTACCTTTGGAGCAAGGTTCACAGGGCATGGTTCTTGTCTTAAAGGCTATTGGACGAGCTTTATGAAAAGGAATACCTTACCCTCCAGTAGACAAACATAGCTATGGGAAATCACCACTTTTGATAGGTAAATCAACCGTATAAATATGTATAAATCATCTATGAATGGCCATTTTCCATAGATCAGTAAATGTCAACTGTTAGTTTACTGGAGGGTAGCTGGGATTTGCGAAAGGTGGTACGTTCAGTGAAGACTTCCAACAGTTTTTGGATGGTACTTAGATGGGCCATGGAGTTAGTTAACTCAGATCAAATTGTCAGGGGGTGCGGGGGTGCCCACTTCTGTCAGTTTTCTTTCTTTTAACCAATAAGATCTGAAAAATGACATAAAATGAAATAAATAGCTTGATTATGCTTGATTCAACCTAAGAATGGGCAAGGCCTTCTTGGTTTCCATGCTTTCTTTTTAACGATGTTTTTCGTGAAGGAACTACCGCCCTTTGCGGTTTCAACAGAGCTGACTTAGTTGGGACCAGTCGATTTCCATCCAGGCTCAAGTGGAAGTGGAGCGCAAGTTGGCTTTGGAAGCTGAGGACGGGCCAAGGGGACCCAGGGGACCCAGGGGACCCAGCACCCACGGCTGGACGAGTGACTAGGGAAACCAACCATGGCAACATGGCAACATACCAGGGACGTCGAAAGATGGGTAAGATTGGTTTGGTCATGGAGGTCCCCAACAGATAAAGAAGTACAACGCATCAAGGCAACAATCATTTTTTTGGGTCTGCAATGATATTGTGCGAAATCCTGCACCACCTTGGATGGTTGAAAACCCTATAGGTAATGGGATGGTTTACCACCTATCAACTGGTGCAGGAATTCTTCCATTCACAGTATCTATGGAACTATACGCTTGTTGATTTTATCAGATTGGAAATACAGATATTGATGCCCCTCATTGGATCAATGGTCGGTTGTGTAATGGTTGTTTCAACACAGTCTAGCCCCATCATGCACCATCATCATTTCCTGAATACCATGTATGGGTTTCTTAAACACGGGTTTTAACACAGGTTTTGTTGGTCAACTCATCATGTTGGTTTGTTCATCATCATCATCATCATCATCATCATCATCATCATCATCTTTCTCGGTTATAGGGTTCAACGCATTCTTTTATGTGACTTCCGTTGTTGCTTGGATGACTTTATCCGGAAACGTCGGTGCTGCGGTATACTCCAAAAACATCCAAACACGATTTGAATGGGGACCGGAGATGGTTTTATTTGGTTCTTATAAAATCTTATAAACAAAATTGTCATATGGCACGCTGAAATCCAAAATCCACGGAAAAGGAAATGATGATGTTTTCGGTTTGTTCAAAACTAGGGCACCCAAATCCTATCCCATAGGATCCATGTATGGTATATATGCTAACATTTGGGGTATATTGATGGCACATGTTACCATATATAGCATACATGGATCCTATGGGTATGGCTTTTACTTAATTGTCCTGAGTAAACTTGTGACTTTGGGGTCTATCCCATGTCAGACAAGGCCAAATCTCGTTTTTTGTTGCTTGTATATCCCATGAAATATGTTTTTTTTGATTCCATAATATGTCCCATTATTGCCACTCTATCCCATGAAGATCCTATGAAAAGGGTGTTTTTAATCCCATGAGATCTCCAAATCAAGTCTATTTTAATCACTAATGTGGGTAAAACAATGCCATAAACCATCCCCCAGTCATCACATGTTTATAAGTGGTACGTGCCCACCATTCCCAGTCATGGGTGGTTTATTTTTTTATTGTTTTACCCACATCAACAAAAATCTAGAAATCTCCATATTGTTGCTGGTTAAATCACCATGTTCCTATGGGTTTTCCTATGGTTTTCCTATGGTTTTCCTATGGTTTTCCTATGGTTTTCCTATGGTTTTACGATTTATGACATGGTTTTACCTACCGGTACCGTAAAGGTCCAGGGCACTGGCAATACGCTCGCCGCGTCGCCAGGAGAGTGCTGAAAAGTTCCGCTTGGAAGCACAGGTCGCGGATTTCGGCGGGCGGATTTTGCAGGATCATTGGGGAGCAGTGGATTTAGCCTCTGGTGATGACTAACAGTTTGCCATGGTAACTGTTACCCAACCTGGTTAATGGTGATTTAATGGTGATTTAATGGTGGTTAATGGTGGTTAATACTCCATTTAATGGTGGTTAATGGTGGATTGAATGGCTAATTTAATGGGATTTAAGCACTATTTTGATGGTGATTTGATGGTGATTTACCCAACCTGGTTATTTAACATGGCCATGGAAAATGGCCCATAGAAATAGATGGTTAATGGTGATTAATGATGGTTAATTATCTGGTTATGACTAACAGTTCGCCATGGTATAGATGACCCTAATCGAAATAGATGGTTTACCGTTCTTAATAGCATGGTGATTTTCCATGGCGAACTGTTAGTCATAACCAGATGGTAATGGTGGATTGAATGGGGGATTTTTCATTTGCAAAGAACTGGGATAATTTTGTATATTGGGGTACCCAATAAATCTAATAAGAAATACTGTAATCATTGTATAAAGCATTCGGGAGTCAATTGGGCATCACTTAGTTATCAATGATTATATAAACCCCATTCAATCTAGTACATGATCAATTTTAATACTCACGTTGGATCAAGCTATGAATTATGGATTCAGCAGTGGGGATTAATTGGGGATCATATCACCTACCCTCTGGTAAACTAACATAACTATTGAAAATTGCAATTTTTAATGGGAAAACTCACTATAAATGGCCATGTTCAATAGCTATGTTAGTTTACCAGAGGGTATGTTGTGTTGCTGTATGTTCACCCCATTGGCCAATTTCTTTCAGATAAACCCAGAAAAAACTTAACGATTCCGAACCGGGCCGAACCGGCCTAGGATTCGGAGTTTTTCTAGATCCCAGTAATCCCTGTTACTAGCTCATACATTATATATATACATGATATATATATATATATAGAAAACCTAGGATTGATAGTTTGATGAATCTTTATTGAATCCCATGAATCAGTCTCTGGCTGATTAATGTGATTGAATTGAAAAAACATGGGACTTTATTGGATATGTTCATGAGATTCATGAGCCGCCACTAAGCTCAGACGTTGATGGTTTGATGCCTGAGTGACCCTAAACGACGGGGAAATTACCCTCTGGTAAACTAACAGTTTGCGAACTGGAAAATGGTCATTTATAGTTGATTTGCCCATTAAAAATTGTGATTTTCCATAGGTATGTTAGTTTACCAGAGGGTAGTACTAAACCCTCTGGTAAACTAACGTTTGCTATGGAAAATCACCACTTTGAAGTTCGGTAAAGCAACGAACTAAATGGGCAATGTTCAATAGCAAACTATTGGTTTATCGGAGGGTAGCGAATCTTGCCAATGTCTGCACACAAAAAACGGACCCTGCTTGGAGGGTCCTTTCACTTAGTATATAATCGGTTAAGAAGCCTGGTTAGTAAGTGCTCGGACTGAGGTTAGCCCATTTTATAGAAAAGTTGGCGGTATAGTCAGCATTACTAACCATTTTTCCGGGTTGATCCAAGCTATTAGGTATAGGTACCTGACTGCCACAGGGCTAAATGAGTTCAAGAAGAGAACACCCATTCCCCCAATCCGCCCCCAATCTAGTTGTGTTTGGAACTGTGTAAAGACAAGTGATGATTGAAGCGACCTTAAAGAATTGGATTTCAACTTAAAATTGCATTTTGCCATGATTTTGCCAACAAATCTTTAAGATTTGATCAATTTAATCACCACCATTTGATCTGCGCTATGAAAACATCAGCGGGATGAGACACTGGAGGTGATGATCTGTGAAGCATACTGGTTACCCTCTGGTAAATATACAAAAAGCTTTGGAAAATGGACCATAATAGTTGATTTACTAGCATGGTGATTTTCCCATCAGTTTTTTGTCAACGTTTACCAGACGATATATTGCTGTAAGACTGATGGTTGGGTCGGGAATGTTCGATGGCGCCTGAATTACTTAGGTCACCAGACACACTTTCTTTGTTGTTTTTTGGGGAACTATATAGATTCTAAGATGGATTTATCCTATTTATTTCGAAATTCATTTTTGGGAACTATTAACCACTATTAACCACTATTAACCATATATATGATATGGGAGATCAACACACCATGAGACACTGGTGTTGAGCTCTCATCGTTGACTGCTTGGTTTGTTTCAGGCCGATCAATCCGTCCATTTCTCCGCAGGCAGCTCGTGCGTCTGAACAGAAAGCACGCATTGCAGAGCAAGAGGCGAGACGAACGCGGTGCGAGATCATCTTTGCATATTGGATATAGGAGGTATAGGAACTGGTGTGGCTCAAGATAGTTATACCATCTTATACCCCAAAACTGTTGATTTGTTCAAGCTGAAGGTCAATTATTCAATCCTCTGTTATTCGGAACATGTTCTGGTTCAAATCAGAATGTTGAAAAGGGCCAAAGAGGCAAAACCCCTTGCCTTACTATGAATACCCCCAAACGAATTCCTGTTTTTGAACCCAAATTGTGGTATTCTATTTCAGCCGGAAGGGACTAACATGGACTAACCATTAAACACCATTATTAACAACAACTATGAACTATCCATTATCCATTGCTGATCAACTTAACTTTCTATTCTTAATTATGAAACTATTATGAACTATCCATGAACTATGCATATGATTTATCAATGTTCAATTTTCAACATTGTTTCAACATTGTTTCACCCCTACTTGGTGGCTCATCCCACTTAGTAAATGGGTTATAACCCCAGTTATAAATGGGATAAGTAGGGTTAATCCACTTATAATTGGGGTTATAACTCACTTACTAAGTGGGATGAACCACCAAGTAAAGATTCTGCCTCAAAGAGGCACCAGCTGTGGCCAGGCCAGAGCGTTGATCGCCAAGCTTCGCCAGAGTGCCGCTGTCCGGAAGCATATCGCTGGTGTCTGCAGATGTTTGTTGGGCCCGAAAGAGGAGTTGTAAATGGCTAGAAATGTGGTTTTAAGATGTTATAAGATGTTATAAGTGGGGTGACTTATAACTTATAAATACTTATAACTTATAACATCTTATAAGTGGTAAAGGGCCATAACTGGAACTTTAGGACCTGCGAAAATGCTGGGTTTTTTGATGGAACATCCTTTGATCCCAGAATTTCGTTGAGAGGAAAATCTACACGAAACCCCTGCAAATGATGGTAGACATGTCGTTTCCTCCATTTGTTTCCTTAAATCCATCCAATGATTGATCCTTGTTGGTGTTCAATTCAATGATGTTGACATCGGCTATCACACGGAATGGAATTTGAATCTTTTTTTTTGGGGGGAAAAACTTAAGAAAATGACCTGTCTAAGACCAAAAAAAGGAGATCCGCGACAGTGTTTTGTGGGATTTGTTTCATATCATGACCTGCTGGGCAGATGTGGATCCTGGATCGGTCTAACTTGTTATTGGGCCATGGCTGGCGGCCTGGCCATGCCAACATGGCATGAAAAAATCTGTGTGCTTTAATCCTAATTTTGAGACCCTTAAATGTTTGATGATTCCAAATTCCAACTTCCAACTTCACCATGAACCTTCGTGAAAACTGAACCATGATTGACTTCCATGAACTTCCCACATTTTTCATGGTTAAAACACACGTTTTGCACCACCTTCAAGCAGCGTTGTTTGTTGATGCTTCCGATGATGCCCAGGTGGAGGTGGATGATGGGGCGCTCACAGAGATGCCGCTTGGTTCTGCTTGGTGGTGACTGGAAGATTTTTTGCTGGTGAATAGTGATGGTTAATAGTGGTTACCCTCTGGTAAACTAACAGTTTGCTATTGAAAATGCCCATAAAAATAGTGCATGACTACCCATTAATAGCATGGTGATTTTCCAGTTCGCTATGTTAAATTACCAGAGGGTAATAGGGTATAAACCAACAACAATGGGAATATGATGGTGATCTGGTTGGTGGTTTGGAACATTTGGATTATGTTTAATGGTGATTTAATAGGGATATTAATGGTGACTTAATGGTGATTAACCCTCTCGTAATGGAATATTAGTGACTGGTTGGTGGTGACTGGAACATGACTGGCTGATTTTCCCATTGGGAATATCATCATCCTAACTGACGAACTCTACCATTTTTCAGAAGGGTAGGTCAACCACCAACCAGATTATTTATTGTCATTTATCCACATGATTCTGTGAGAATTATTGTTCTTATTAGTGTTATTTATCCAGAAGTTACTAAAATTTATTCCAGCTATTCCCATAGGATCCATGTATGCTATATATGGTAACATTTACCATCAATATACCCCCAATGTTAGTATATATACCATACATGGATCCTATGGGTATTCCCATGGTAATTCCTGACCATTCTTCTGGGTGTCAAGCATCAGGTGATTTTTCCCACGATCGCCAGGCGTAAACAGCTGGCCTCAGCGCAGGGCGAAGCCGAGAAGGCGAGCGGATCGATGTGGTCGATGTGGTCGATGTGGATGTCACCAGGGTCACCCGGAAAGGTGGAGAAATTCTCCAAAAAAATAGGGGTTGAAGATGGTCGAAGCATGAAACATGGGGAAATTCAGCAGACTTTTTGGGTGTTTGGAGGTTTTTTCTTGGTGGGTTTTGAGAACTACTAAAATCATGTCTGCTTGGTGGTTTCAAACATCTTTTATTTTCCATAAGATATGGGATAATCCTTCCCATTGACGAACTCATATTTTTCTAGATGGTTAAAACCACCAACCAGTTATTAAAGGTATCAAAAGATGACGTGACGTGTTTAGATGGACAGCTGAAGTGCAATGGGATGGGGTAGAAGGGACTTCCATCAAACATGGTGGATTCAGTAACAAGCTATGGAGATTTAACAAAACAATAGCAATTACCCTCTGGTAAACCAACATAGCTATTGAAAATGGCCCATTTATAGATTTTATAGTGAGTTTTCCCATTCAACATTGTGATTTTCCATAGTTATGTGAGGTTACCAGAGGGTAACACCGAACCGATGAGTTAACAAGCCGACAGTTTAGTAGCCTCGGGTGATTTGGAAATTATCTCTAAGCAACAACTGTTATTTGAGACTCACAACTCCTATAATTATTTTTTAGAACTTAAGAGGTAGCAAATTCAGATCACCATTTGTGCTGCATACATTACGCTGTGTGCTTCTTTATTTCCAGAAATGGCTGGAGTGATGCGACATCCATTTGCTAATCCATCTGGTTGATGGACCTCAGGGTCTTGCCGGTGGCCGTTGTTTATTTTTTTCAAAATTGGGTTGCTGAAACTCCAAGTTCTAGGTTTTTGCTGAAGTTGTATCCTTGGCTATAGGTCAAATAGGTGGGACAAGTAGAGTTGATCCACTTTTAAGTCGGGTTAGACCCTGCTTACTAAGTAGAATGACCCAGCCAGTACTTTAAGTAATACGTTTTTTCTTTAGCGCAGGCCTCAACACTCCCCTGGTAGTGATGGAACTGGTAATGATGGAACTGGTAAGGATGGAGCTATGCTGGTGCTTGTAAGGGGATTCCTTCCGCTGTGTTGAACTCGTAGAATTCACCTGCTGAACTAAACACATTTAGCGAACCGTAAGCAGGGGCCGCTTCCTTGAGGGGATCAAGTTGTTCTCAATCTTTATCATCACATCAATGCATCTAACTACATGACAGTTATAATTTATAAATATTTATAATATCATGTTAAACAAAGAAAACAAATCACCATACGCCACCCTAAACCCTAGTTAAGTTGGTTATAAGATGTTATACACCAACTAATTATTACAAACATAGCCCAAGTTATGGTGGTTGTTACCATGATATGACCTATTAATTACCCCAACTGCACCCCCAAGATGTATATGAATCCATTATATCTAACTAATTTGTATAATTATACAATACAATTACATATATACATTGTATATATATATGTATATATGTTGAACAATGAACTAACTATATAACATCATATAATGGATATTAATATACATATATAAATTATATAATGTATATCAATATACGAATCTAATTCATTAATATACATCAAACAAAATGGAACTGATAATAATTACACATATACAACACATATCATCCAGGCTATTAATCCAATCCCCAGCCGATCTCATCCAGGCTAAGAAGGACCTGGACGCCCTGCGAGAGGCCAAGGTGCCGTGGGCTTTTGGGCCCTGGTTGATGGCGGATATCTGAATTGAAGTAAACATATTATATAGATATATGTATATATTATAGATAATATATATATATAGATAATATATAGATAATATGATAATATTTAGATTATATATAGATAATATATAGATTATACATAGATTAGATAGATTCAGATAGATTCAGATAGATTCAGATAGATTCAGATAGATTCAGATAGATTCAGATATTCAGATAGATTCAGATAGATTCAGATAGATTCAGATAGATTCAGATAGATTCAGATAGATTCAGATTCAGATTCAGATAGATTCAGATAGATTCAGATAGATTCAGATAGATTCAGATAGATTCAGATAGATTCAGATAGATTCAGATAGATTCAGATAGATTCAGATAGACAGATTCAGATAGACAGATTCAGATAGATGGATGGATGGATAGATAGATAGATAGTATAGATAAGATAGATAGATGGATGGATGGATGTATGGATGGATAGATAGTTAGATAGACAGATAGACAGATAGATAGACAGACATACAGATAGACAGATAGACAGATAGACAGAGAGACAGATAGCCAGATAGCCAGATAGATAGATAGATAGATGGATGGATGGATAGATAGATAGATAGGTAGATAGATAGATAGATAGATAGATAGATAGATTAGATAGATTAGATAGATAGATAGATGGATGGATAGATAGATAGATAGATAGATAGACAGATAGATAGATAGACAGATAGACAGATAGACAGATAGACAGATAGACAGATAGACAGATAGCTAGATAGCTAGATAGGTAGGTAGGTAGATAGATAGATAGATAGATATTGGCTATCATCTGAATACAGGTATTGTCGTGCCTAACATTACACGCTTTGGTGCAGCAATAGGGAGGCCAAGGAGACAAACGGAGAGCAGAAAGTGTGTACCTACCGACCCACCGCTCTTGATGGGCACCCTGAGGCTCCAAGTAGATTTATGGGCAGTCCATAGACCCAAACGTCATCAAACGTCCACATCTATGTGATGGTGATATGACCGGTGAGCTGATTTGGGTGTTTCCACAAATGGGGGTACTGTACCCCCATAGCTGGATGGTAAAAACCCATGGAAAATCCCATTAGAATGGATGATAACTAGGGGTATCCCCAGCCATCAGGAAACCTCCATTTGAGTGTTTCTTGAGAACCGAACTTCATAGAATTGGATGATGGGAAAATGTTAACCGGAAACCCCGATCAATTTGATGGTAAAAACCCATGGGTTTCCGGTTAAGATTTTCCCTTAAACCAATCCATTGAGAACTGGACATGGGCCTAAAGTAAATTTGTCTTGAAGGAATGACCAGAGGCCAGGATCTCAGGCTATTGTTGGCTACATGGTGCCACGCCTTATATTGGTGTTGAGTTTGATTATGATTTTGATCCATTTATGTGGGTTACATAAACACCGGGGTTGTTTGCTTCTACCTCCATTTCTAAATATAGATTGATAAGTATATATATATGGCTATGGATCAATACCTGTACATACCATTTTAGTGGGATGAACATCCATTTACCAGCTATTTTGATGTTCACCAGGGGTACAAGGTTTTGACCCATCCCTATATATATATTATATGGGTAAATTATAACGACCTCACCACGACCACACTGGAAATGATGGTGTATTTTAGGGAAACCATCCCCATTCATGGCCGCAAGATTCAGGTTAGTGAAATATTGTCATTTACCCATATGGTTTGGAACATTTTTTATTTTTCCATATATTGGGAATAATAGTCCCAACTGACGAACTCATATTTTCAGAGGGGTAGGTATACCACCAACCAGATATACATATATACACATAATATGTCTATTTGGTTCAAAATTCAAAACCCAATTCTTCTTGGTGATACCCACGAATTCCAGGCCTCGCAGATTATGAACAGCGAGGCGGGCTGAGGAAAGAATTGTGGGTGGAACATGGTTAGTTTTATGGATTTTAGTCGATTTTATTTTAATGAATTTGAATGGATTTTAATGGATTTATAAATACTGGGTCAACCTTTGTTACATACGAACTAGTACTTCAATCGTTTGAATGGTAGAATTCGGCCTGACCAGCGAAAAATGAGATGTTTTGACAGGTATCTAAGATTCACCATGGTTTACACAAATTAATCACAAATGAATTATGGAGAATCATAAATGGAGTATATAAAATCATAAATGGGAGATACACAGTCACTTAACTGCAGTATAAACATGTATCAAACAAATTATATAGAATTGAATAGTTAACAGATAAAAAAACATGCGGTTTTGAAAAACATGTTCCAATGATTCCTTCCTAAGAGATATCTCCTCCACCCATGGTGATATACCTGCCTCTTCCAAAGTGGGCTTAATTTCTGCCTTTTGCCCAATAAATAGGTTTTTCACAAGAACGACCTTTTTGGGCAAACCAGAGTTTCTTCTGATATATTGCTGCCAAGCCCGTTTTTCAGCGGCGAAAATGCCCGACCAAACGGCGAAAATACCCGACCAAACGACGAAAATACCCGACCACGTGGGCTGACAATTTCTCACAACGGCATTTATTTTCAGGAAAGGCGTTTTTCCGCAAGAACGGCGACAATTCTACTGTTTTTGAGCAACGGCAGAAATAAGCACCATATGGAAGATCCAGGTATCACCAGTTGTGTTGTTTGTGTTAACTTCATTTGTTTGCTGGTTTCAAACATTTTTTATTGTCCATTTCATATATGGGATGTCATCCTTCCCGTTGAAATAGGGAGAAGAAAAGGTGCTCGCACCATTCGCCTTGATCATCAACTGCATGACGCAGCCTTTCATATTGCAGGCCTCCAAGAAACGCGCACCCATGTAGGGCAGTACAAAACTGACCACTACACCATCTTCTCGTCGGGAGGGGCTGGCAACCATGACGAGCGCTCTGGATGTGAATTATGGCTGCATCGAACGTTGCCGCTACTGACACGTGATGATGGCTCCAAGCTGACATTTGCCGATTGCACATGCGTTGTAGCCCATGCAGATCCCCGGAGACTTTTTGTCAAAGTTGAACATGACCATTTTCAAATCACTGCCGTTGTCCTGCATGCACCATGCCTAGGTACAGCCACAGGGGATGCCACCGCCCCTATCGAAGTTATCCGCGCATGGTGGGTTGAAACCGAAACCATATGGCAGCAGGTTGTACATACGGAGATGATTTGCGTCTTCACTGATGCCAACGCCACACTGGCATCTGCCACCACGGAGTTTTTTCAGCAGCACCATGCAGATGCCACAACAGCCCAAAGTTCCATCTTTGAAGACTTTCTGTGTGACCATCAGCTCTATGTGCCGGCCACCTTCGCAGCTCTCCACAGTGGACCATCGTTTACGTGGACCCACTCCTCAGGCAAGAGAATGCGTCTGGATTACGTCCTCCTAAGTGAAAAACTCTTTGCAATGGTTGATCACTCGGCTACATGGGTGTCATATGACGGCACCTTCACCCATGAAGACCACATTCCAGCAGTGATTCACTTGAATGGTTGGATCCACGTTGTGCCGCAGGTGCCCAAGCACCAATGGGATGAATTCGCACTCCTTGACCCTGGCCGATGTGCGGCTTTCCAGGATGCCCTTGCCACCCTCCCCATCCCTCCATGGGAGGTCACCGTGGACACCCATTGTGCCCTGTATGAACGCCAAGTATTGCAGCTTGCCAAGCAGTTCTTCACCCGCAAGCCCGGTGTCCGCAGAAGACCAACCCTCAGCCGGCACACCCTGGACACCATTGCGTTCAAAAGGCACATCCTAGATTGTGGCCGCGCCTGGGCACTCATGACGCATCCTGATTTTAAGGAGGAGCTCAAGATTGTGGAAAAACAGGTGATACGTATGGTGACCGAGGACCTGCAAATCATGTTTGATCAGATTTTGGTTCACCTGCAAGAGGCAGGACAGCTCTCGGACCACAAGCAGATGTTCCGCATGTTGACACGACTTGGTGGTCGCAGACATAAGACCAAACTTCCAGCCAAGCCACTCCCCATGTTGAAGACCCCTCAAGGGGAGGCAGTCACCTCGTTTGCCCAACAACAGCAGATGTGGATGGATCAGTTTGCCCAAGTAGAGGCAGGTCTACGAGTTGCATGGCAGGACCTGCGCAATGCCGACTCTGCAGCCCCTTGCCTCCCAGTGGACGTTCAGGAAGCGACTGCCTTTCCGTCCGACTGGCAAATCCAAGCAGCAGTCTCTAAACTGAAGAGAGGAAAAGCACCTGGCCCCAATGGACTCACGCCGTGCGTCCTCAAAGCAGGAGGGAGCATACTGTCCAAGCAACTGGCTACCATCACTACAAAAGCAGTGGCACACAGCAAAGAACCTTCCTCATGGAAGGGGGGACGCTTAGTCCCACTTTACAAGGGGAAAGACTCAACTGCAGATCCTGCGGCCTACAGGGCCATATACATCTCAGATCATACGTCCAAGATTTACCACCGCATGCTGCGGCAGCAGTTGGAAGGCCCATGGACAGCCCACATGGACCTGCTCCAACTTGGTGGGCGCAAGGCGATGGGCACGGACCTTGCCCATCATATGCTGGAGGCACATCAATTTTGGTCCCGCAAGAACAAACTACCATCGGCGATAGTGTTCTTTGACCTGCGTGCTGCCTTTTATTCCGTGCTCAGACAGGCCTTGCTGGCCCAATCCCTTGATTCTGCCCCACTTGTGTTGGCGCTGGCGCAGTGGGGAGTGCCTAGGCCTGTCGTTGACGCGTGGTTGAACCAAGCCCAGGAGGACCATGCCATTCTTGGAGCCTCAAGGCATACAGAACAGTTGATCCATGATTGCATGACCAACACGTTCTTTACAGTCGACGGAGTCCAGGAAGTCTGCCATACCACTCGGGGCACTCGCCCGGGGGATCCGTTGGGGGACCTGTTGTTCAACCTTATCATGCGGTTGGTCCTCAAGGACATGCATCAGCACATCCAGTGCACCTCCAATGCCTACTGGATTGGTACCCCCAAACAATGCACATCCTTCCTGGACGCCAAGCACATTCCACCTCATGCCTACTTTGATGTTTCCTTTGTTGATGATGCTGCCATTGCCATCCATGCGGAGTCGCTGGAGGCAGTTGAAGCCACCATTAAGGTGGTGGTGGAGGCCTTCCACCATGCTGCAATGGCCAGAGGTTTGGGTGTCAACTTCAGTCAAGGAAAAACCGAAGTCCTTTGGGACATCATCGGAAAGGGGTCGAGAGCCCTGAAAGAAAGGCTGCATGACTCAGGACAGTGGCTTACATGGCAGACCCCTGGTCACCATTTCAGCCTGAGGGTATCCCACTCATACAAACACCTTGGATCCTGGATCCAGATGGGCGGTAGCCACAAGAGAGAAATCTCGCATCGTGCCTCGATGGCACTGCAGAGCTGGGGATGCCTAGCCCGCACGTTTTATCACAAGAAGCATGTAGGAATGCAGGCCAAAACCATTGCTTTCCAGTCCCTCAGCATGTCCCGTCTCATGTTCAATGCCCACACCTGGGTTGGCATCACAGATGACCAAGTGGCGCAATGGCAGCAGAAGCTCCGTAAGCCAATTGGATTGTTGACAAAGCATTTGCTCAAGGGGGTTTCACCACTGGTGGTTGACACGGTCGATCTGTTTGCATTGGCTAGGATCTTGCCACCCAGTGACCAGCTCCATGTTGCCAGGCTTCGCTATCTAAAGAGGTTGCTCAACTACTGCCCACAGGGCTTGTGGGACCTCCTGTTCCATGCCCGTGCCTGGCCCCACAGCTGGATCGCACACTGCCAGTCATCCTTTGAGTGGTTTCTGCAGTTCTACCAAGTCCCTGGGGCACCTACCGATGTTCAGGACTTGCCGGCATGGCTCACATACATTGCACTTGACGCCAGTTGGAAGGGACGCCTCAAAACGGCTTCAAAGGGTTGCCTCCACTTCCGGCAAGCAAATGCGGAAGAACACGTATGGCTCAAAGCCTTCCAAGCCAGGTTCGAAGCTGCAGGCGGTGTGACGCCATGCAAGCAATCCACTCAATCAGGAACATGGGTATGTGACCAGTGCCAAAAAGCCTTTGCCTCCAAACGTGCCCTGGCCACCCATGCAGGAAGAGCGCATGGCTACAGGCGTTTAGTCAAGTACTACGCGGTAGACCAGGCGTGCAATGCTTGTGCCAAGATCTATGCCACCAGAAAGCGCCTCATTGAGCACCTTCGTGATGCCACAGAGTGCCTGGCCACTTTGCAGGCCTGCTTCCCGCCGCTCTCTGACGAGCGAGTCATGGAGTTAGACAAGGAGGACATGGACACCACCCTTGCTCTGAGAGCCCAGGGATGGGGTGCGGCCAAAGCCTTGCAACCGATGCGCAAGATCATGGGTCCATGCCTCCCCCCAGCGGGCACGCAAGGAGCACTAGAAATGAGGGCTCGATGGGACATCCGTTTTCCCACTGCTGGGTCCGGCTACGAGAACCTGCAAGGTCATGCAGTCGCTTCAGGGGAAGGGGGTCCACCCAAGGTAGTCCTATTCTCTGACGATCTGCCAGCCTTCGTTTTCCAGTCAGCAGCCGGCATGAACCAGGGAGATGGAAGGTTCTCTCTCCATGGATTGGCCAGGGAAGCCGCCCGATTGCACATCAGGGCGCAAGTCTTTGTGCACTTCTATTCTGGTTTCCGGCGCAAAGAAGATTTGCATGACCTGCTTGAGCACCACGTTTTTCCGCAGGGCCACCAAATCTTTGTGCTGTCGATTGATATGTGTTTGCAGCGGGAGCGGGGCGATTTGGCCTCTTCCGAATCCCTTTCCTGGTGGCTGGAACGCATAAAATCAGGCCTTGTATGCGGTGCTGGTGGCGGTCCCCCGTGTGAGTCCTACTCGGCTGCCAGACTCCTTGAAGGGGGTCCGCCACCGGTGAGGTCAGGGAAGTGGCCCAATGGAATACCCAACATTCCAGTCAAAGCCTGGCGACAGGTCATGATAGGGTCACGGCTGATGCGTTTCATTGTAGACGTCTTCCTCCTGCTGGCCATCACCGGAGGATGTGCATTCATCGAGCATCCCCAATACCCAACCTGGGCAATTGACCTGGACCCGTCCAGCGTATGGGCAAGCCCAGCTATGAGGTTGCTGCGCACCATCGCCGCAGTTGGAGTGACCAGCTTCGACCAGTGCATATTTGGATGTAGGGCCAAGAAACCAACCACTATCATCCATTTGCGCCTGCCACATCTGCGGAACACCATCTTGCGAAGTGGCAACATGGGAAGATGTGCCCCTGGTGCCTCAGCGCATGAAGCCCTAGCAGGCCAAGAAGCAGATGGAGCGTTCAAAACTGCGAGAGGCAAGGTATATCCGCCTGGTTTGAACCGAGCCATTGCCAACGCCATTGCAGACTATGTACAGACCACATTTGAAGCAAGGGATGGCGCTGTATTGCCCCCTGACTTCATTGACCTAGTAGTGAATGATTTTGTTGCAGAGGACGTGGTGCAACCTGACTATTATGGTTGGGCCCCTCTGCTGTACAGAGTAGCGCTAGTCGTCAAAGCATGACCGAGCAAGGATACTTGCAGCATTCGGAAATGAAATGTCATCCTTCCCATTGACGAATTCCATCATTTTTCAAGATGGTTGGTCAACCACCAACCAGATTATTATTAACCATCATTAACCATATAATAACCACATATTAACCATTATTAACAGTCTATAGTCCAGTCATATTTTTCAAGATGGTTTTTGCACCACCAACCAGTCCTGGTTTGGATTAATATTTGGTTGCTTGTTCAGCCATGATACTTCTGGTTCTGGTCACTGACTGGTCCAGTTTCTAGGATTTCATTATCCCCATAAACCTACAGGATGGGGCCCCAGTTCGTTAGCTAACATAACTATAATAACAATAGTGTATGTTCAGATACTTATAATTGGTTTATGATACTTATAACTATATTTAGTTAACTAAGTTGGTGTATGATACCTAACTATATTTAGATGGGGTCATAAACAAACTTACAACTGGGGGGGCATAAATCTATCCCCATAAAATCTTACAAGAGCTTGATCATAGCAAATCCGCCACGGGCGCCTCCAGTCTCCTACTTCCCTGGAGAAGGCGAACGCATGAGGCCGGAAGCGGCCTGGATAGTTGTTTTTTTTTCCTGACCATGAAAGTTTGGATTCAACTATCCATGATTGTAACTAAACTATAACCCATAGTTTTTTGTTCTGCCTGGGTTATTTTTTTCATTTTGTTCTTTTTGTTTTAGCATTTTCCAGTCGAAGCCTGTTACTGCAATACATTAAAGTCAATGGGTAATAACCATCGTATTACCCAGTTACATATGGATACATATGGAACGTCTCCAGTTGTATCTGTTCATCACTCAGTGGGATGCAGCCCTGAGGGTTACTCCTTGCAGTCCACCTGGTGCTCCACCAGACATCCACTGTGGATAACTTGGGCTCCGTTTAGCCAGAAAGTGAGCATGTTTGACTACCATAAAAAAAAAAAAAACTGGCTGTGGCCGGGATGATCAGTATCAACTGAGTTAACCTGGCGGCGTCATAAGATGTTTCTTAGCCAATTTCATTAGATAATCTATAGGGGATATGACTATAGTTTTCATGGATTTTTCTAGGCTTTATAGATGTTTATAGGGGATATAACAAAATATAACTATAGTTTTCATGGATGTTATATCCCCTATAAACTATGGTTAATGGATGTTAATGGATGTTAATATCCCCCCTATAACATAATATAACTATAGGGGCGCCAAAAAATAACAAACTCAGAAAAAGACCAATTCGGATGGTCCTCTCCAGGCCGAATTTCACGGAGACCGAGGTGTTTTTGGGGGCGCTTTTGGACCCTCCTGGAGGGCCCAAGATAGGAGCGATTTGAAGGTACTGAAAATAGTTATTTAACAAACCCTATGCCTTAAAAAAATATTCCAGGGTATCAACTAGGTTATGGAATAATTTTGTTTGGAATAATTTTCAAGGAATAATTGGCTGATTTATCCACTCAAAATTCACTGAAAATTGGATCTTAACCACCAGAAAAACTGGGATTTATGTCGATTTTTCACATGATTTAACCACAAAAAAGACGTGGGATTGAACAAGAAACATTCATCGGACATGAATGTAGTAACACATTCGATTTCAACACCAAAGATGGGAATTGATGTTTAACATGTTTGGTTTCATTATGGGGGCAACATTAGCCACTTGTGGGGAGCCACTTTGTGGAGGGTCAACAATCCCGCCTTTCCTTTCAGGGTTCCTAAGGGTGAAGTGGGTCCCGTGTATCCTTCAACAAATAGATAAACGTCGGGGGCATATGGGCATATCATATACCCTCTGGTAATTTAAGATAGCTATTGAACATGGTCCATTTAGTTCGTTGATTGGCCTATAGTTGCCTATGACAAAGATTGTGATTTTCCATAGCAAATTGTTGGTTTACCAGAGGGCAAGCTACAAAAGGCCCCTGAAACTGGTTGGTAGTTTCGGATATACTTGGCATACTTGGCCCAATTTGGACTGATTCATCCAAAGGAGCAAAGTTTGATTTTACTTTCGTTTTTTTTTTTCGGGTGAAAGTGTCACCAACAAGCAGCTGCATGATCCTGCAAATAAGGATTGATGGCTAATATCTGGACATGGCCCCTTTACACTCTGGTAATTTAACATAGCTATTGAAAATCACCATTTTAATGGGAAAAATCACTATAAATGGTGATTTTCCATAGTTATGTCAAATTACCAGAGGGTATCTCCCTTTTTGTCGCCAATCAATCACCGGCCAGAGGCTCCAGCACACCAAAAAAACTACAATCGCCATGATTTTTCTACCAGAATCATTGAGAACGTCGGGACCCTTGCGGACCTAAAAAGTGGTAAAGGAAGCACCAAAATCATCCAAGTTTTCTGCCGGTAAGCATCATCTACTATCTGGGAACTCGTGTTCGGCGATGATTTGTCGCGACTCAATTTTTATACAAAAACTGGTTGGTGGTTTGGAACATTTGATCATATTTGATTATTTTTCCATTCAGTTGGGAATTTCATCATCCCAACTGACGAAGTCCATCATTTTTCAGAGGGGTAGGGCGAAAAACCACCAACCAGAAAATCTCATACACCAAGTGCAATTGTATGGTTCAAGATCCAAGTCTTATGGCAGTGCCATGGTCAAAACATGTCAAAACATGCACATTCAGAGGGTTCTTCGAGTCGGAAATCCCTAAGGATGGTGAGATCACCATCCGGAGAGCCTCTGGTAAACGTTTACAGTTTGCTATGGAAAATAAAAAAAACAAAATAGGTAAATCAACGAACTAAATGGGTCGTATTCTGCAAACTGTTAGTTTACCAGAGGCTACCATATTTAGATTAGATTCATCCGATTGGTGGTTTGGAACATGAATGGATTATTTTTCCAGAGATATGGGAATTTCATCATCCCAACGGACTTTCATATTTTGCAGAGGGGTTCAAACCACCAACCAGAGATTCTAACCATTTGTCGCCACTTCTCATGCGCTAGGTCAGTCGCTGGCTCTTTTGTGAGACTTTGATTGCCGCTTAAACAGGGAGCTGATCTCGGGCGGGTGGCATGAGCACGATGTGCCGGGTGATTCAAACATATTCAAACCATTCAGATACATTTAGATTACTTTAGTAATCTTTAAATATCTTTAGTATGTGTTTTTCTCTTTGCCATGTTGCTGCTATATATTGCTATTTTTCCTGCAACACTGCTATACATCTTTGCCGTGCGGTGCCTGGTAGACATGGTCGACGCCGAGTTGGGAACCCCAATTGGCCATGATCATACCATAGCAACGTTAAAGCACCATGGTATGTCAATGGTAATGATGTTTAAGTACCCCATCTTGGTGGCTCATCTCACTTAGTAAATGGGTTATAACCCCAGTTATAAATGGGATAAGTAGGGTTAATCCACTTATAACTGGGGTTATAACTCACTTACTAAGTGGGATGAACCACCAAGTAAGTACCCCATGACATGTCAATGTTTAAGTATCCCCCATGGTTCATTGGCCTAGCTTCCTCGGAACATTCCGAACGACACCTTTTCCCAGCCACCAGAGCTGGGGAAACGTGGTATGGACAGCGATGTTGATGGGGATATACTAATCAGCTAAAAGAAACACATGTTTAGTGAATATATCATTCACTTTAGATCTTACCTTACAGTTCCAAATAACCAGCGTTTTTGGTGTTTGGTTGGACTCACTATCCAAGATTAGCATAGCCATGAAAAGCGCAGAAACACCAGGCAAAGTTCGTGCAAGCACAGGAGTATCCTAGTTGCTCTCAAGCTTCCGCTAGCCCCGCCGCATCTTGCCAGAATGTTTGAAGCTGTGACTGGCGGAGTGCTGCAAAGCCGACACCCAGTAGGCGTACGAAGTTCGAAGTGGTACCGTGAAACACATTGGGATGGAAACATTAGAATTTTCTGGGTTCAACTAAACATGACGATTTAACAACCAAAAATTGCGGTTTACCATGAAACATGAAAACATCAAACAAGGGGGATAATGGATTCTTGGACACCCTACTTAGCTATATGCGTTTATTACAACAAGGCCAAGTAGGGAGTGTGATGATTGAAACTATAGTTGGATAGGTTCAGAAACGAACTGGCAACTGGGGTGGTCAACTTTGGAATTGATGTATACCTGAATACAAGCATAGCCAAAAAGATTTGATGAGCAACATCCGACTGAAATAGCGAGGATTTGTTTTTTTTCCATCTTTGTGGGGATTACTATACATACTATTATATATATATAATGTATATAATAAAAAAATATTATACATGTAAATGGTGGATGTAATTAGATAGATGTACGATGATGTACGACGAGTTATGTACTGAAGTCGGTCGCGTTAGGTCGCAGTCGGACCATCTCATCGCTGAGCCCCCATCATTTTCTCCAAGAATTCGAATATCATGGGATTATCGATGGTGAACTGCCAGAAATTGGAATATCCATTGGAATATGAATTCTGAATGGGAAACGTCTTATAGATTATTCTAATCTGGTTGGTGGTTTGGAACGCAACTTGATGCTGCAGGGTTTGTCGACCTCCAAGACATTGCATGTGCCAAATGGGGGCAACCCATCCAACCCACGTGTAAACAGACCACAAGGAAAGATTTCTGTTATGTTTCACGTGAACTTGCTGCGATGTTGAAGGAAGTGCATGTCAATCATGACATTTTTCCCGACCACGCTGTTTTGTACGGTGTCTTCAGGAATTTGAGTACCATTTCACCTAGGTTTGTTTGGCCTTGTCCAAAGCAATTCCCATGGCCTGCTAGTTGGAAGGTTGACCCTGCCATGTGGACTTCGACCCCTGGCACTCCTGACATGAAATATCAGGCGGTTTGGACACACATCGAAACTCAGGCATGTGCTGCTATCCCGTTCCCTGTTTCCAAGAATTTCCAGGGGCGAGCTTGCACAAGAGACACCCGAGTTGTCTTTGAGGGAAAGATTCCACCCCCCAAGAAGGCCCGTAAAGGGGATGTTCAACCTCATTATAAATGTGCGTCCTTCAGACACGCCCAATGGCTCCGACAGACTAGGCGTTTGCAGTCGTATTTGCGTTTTGTGAGTGCTAATTTTACAGGTGTCGTTCATGCTCGTCGGGTTTGGGGTGCCATTGTTAGGTCCACCGGTTTCACCCCTGATTTCTCTACATGGTGGCTACACAGTGAATTTCGCACTCATGATGCTCCGGCCAAGATCCCCCTTTGCCCGCCCGAGGCTGGGGTTGCATCCGCCATCCTTGACTCTGTGATGTTAGCCTTTCGGGCCATGGAAACGGATCTCCAGAAGGCTTCCAGGTTGTATGCCCGCATGAGGCGTGAGTCCAATCCCAATGCTATTTTCCAGGACCTCCGAAACTCACAGTTTTCCGGTGGTGAAATTTTGATCAAGTCTCAGCCTGCGATAGTTTTGGAAGTCCGAGAGGATGAACACCAACTGGTACTTGATCGCCCTGTCAGTTTTGATTCTGCCAACCCTGTCATGTGCCAGGGCCAGCCACTGGAAGTGATTCACGCAGAACACGATGCTGTGTGGGTGGAACACTGTGATCACATCGCCCCTGGTCATGTGATCACACAGGAATCGCGATCTGGTACCACCCCTGAATTGTTCCATATGTTTCTAACTACGTGGAAAGCAATGTGGGAAAGGCATGCGGATGTTCCCAGTGAGCGCTGGTCCGTAATCCTCCAATTTGCCAGACAGTTTTTGCCTCGGCGTAGTGCGGAGTGGCGCCCTATGACTCAGGTTGATTTGGCTCACTGCATCGCTCACAAAAGGCCTGCCACGTCGGCAGGTCTCGATGGTGTCACCCTGCAGGATTTGAAAGCCCTCCCCGGTGAGGCGCTTGCGAACTTTGTGGACATGTATCGCGATGCTGAATCTTCAGGTGAGTGGCCATCCCAAGTTGTCGCGGGGAGGGTTACATGCTTGCCCAAGAAAGCTGAGCCGAGGGACGCCCTTGATTTCCGTCCCATAACTGTGCTGGGCCTTCTGTATCGGTGCTGGGGGACATTTTATGCTAGACAGGCAATCCAGTTCCTTGACCCCCTTCTACCTCCTGGCCTTTTTGGTAGCAGACCCAGCTGCTATGCCGGACAAATTTGGTCCCAGTTGTTGTGGAGCGTCGAATTGGCATATGAAGCAGATTTGCCTTTGTGCGGGATCATTGCAGACATTCAAAAGGCTTTTAATTGCTTGCCTCGTGCAGTGGTGTTAGAAAGCTGTGCCATTGTGGGAATCCCGTTCCCAGTTTTGAAAGCTTGGGCTGGCGCCCTCACCACAATGCCTCGCAGGTTCCAAATCAATGGGAGTTTAAGCCCTCCTGCCTTTAGCACCTGCGGGCTTCCTGAGGGATGTGCTTTTTCTTGTGTTGGGATGATGGTTGTCGACATTTTGTTTCACAAGTGGATGACCCACTTTTTCCTTTGTGTCAGCCACTGTCGTATGTTGATGACTGGCAAATACTCATGCATGACTCCCAACAATTGGAACAAACATTCCGCTGCTTGGAAAGTTTCACGCATGCACTTGACCTGCAATTGGACCACCAAAAGACCAACATGTGGTCAACTTGCCCAGTTTCCCGCCAGGGGCTTCGTGCCCAAGGGTTCAAGCTGATTGCAGGGGGGAGGAACTTGGGTGCCCACGTCCAGTTTACGCGGCAGCACACCAATAAGACTTTGATGGACAGTATACAATCTGTTGGTTCTTTGTGGCCCAAACTCAGAATTTCGGCCTGTCATTATACCCAGAAAGTTCGTGCATTAACTTGTGCGGCGTGGCCACGTGCTCTGCATGGAGTTGCGGCCACTACTCTCAGTTCAGCTGCCTTCAGCGCCCTTAGGTCAGGGGCTATGAAAGGGCTCCATGCCGATGCGTCGGGGGCAAATCCGGCAGTTCACCTAGGCCTAGTTGAAAAGACTTGCACTGATCCCTTGGCATGGGCCATTATGCAAACTTTGCGCCTTGCAAGAGATTGTGGACACCAACAGAGGGTTGAGCAAGTGCTGGTTGACATTGTGGAGGGGTCTGTAAAGTTTCCTGCCAACAGTATCACCACAACCCTTCTTGGTCGCATCCAATGTTTGGGATGGCACGTTGATGCCCATGGTATGCTCCATGATGCGATTGGCCCTTTCTCCCTTTTCGAAGTCTCTGCTGCTGAACTTCTTTTTCGAGTTGAGTTTCAATGGCCAATGCTTGTTGCGGCGGAAGTCTCACACAGGCCTTGCTTCCATGGACTTATGGGGGCCGATGCCAATGATGTGCGAGGCTGGATGCTCACGTTGGATAGTGCTGACCAAGCATTGTTCCGGAAAGTGTTGAATGGAACTCATTTCACACAAGATGGCAAATCCCATTGTCAGGCCACCGTTGACGACATGTGTCCCTTTTGCCAGTGCAGTGATAGCAGGTTTCATAGATTTTGGCAATGTGAACATTTTGATTTTCTCAGATGTCAAGTTGCACAGGACATTCGAGATGCTGTCCTGGAGTTGCCTGAATCTTTAACATGTTCGGGTTGGTCCCTTGCACCCACGACTATGCTCGAGTGGTATCAGTATTTTGCTGCCCTTAAGCCCACCTGTGTCCCGCAGCATGACCTGAGTGGTGAAGTGCATCTTTTTACTGATGGTAGCTGCCAGAACCAGAAGAGTCCTCATGCTAGGTTTGCCGGCTGGGCTGTGATCCAGGCATCCACGGGTAGCATTTGTGACCTTGCCCTTAGCGGCGTGTTAGATGCGGGGGTTTTGCCAGGATTGTTGCAGAGTGCCGTACGGGCCGAAATCTACGCAGTTTGGAGGGCTCTTCTTATTTCCAAGTCTCACCCTGGACATGTTCACATTTGGGCGGACTGTGATGCTGTGGTAAAACGCCTTCGGCGCATCATCGCTGGATGCGCGATTAAAACCAACAGTCGCCACGCCGACCTATGGCTTGAGATTCAACGCTGCTTGCAGGACCGAGGTGGGCCTACGTCGGTCACCAGAGTGGCCGCACATCAGAGCGCCGATGCCGCTCCCAGCCTTTTGCATGATTGGTGTTACCGTCACAATG